GCAATTTTTTTATTTATTTATTTACGTATCTGCCTCGTTGCTTCTCCTGCTTCGTTTGTTTACTTGTGAATTTGATAATTAATTTAGTTTATATCACACTCTTTGTCGAAGAAGCAGAGGTCTCAGCGATAACTTGAAACGATGACACTGCCATGACTGTCATATGACCCTTCGCCAGACTAACAAACCTAAGATCAAGGGATTTCATAGGATCTAATTAACAATTATTACATGATTCTCATTTGCTTTATCTTACCTTGTTTACGTAGCATTTACCATTACCTCTTGCCTTCTCCTGTTACCGGGAAGACACGAAGAAGCTTTCAGGGGTTGTTAGGCTTTCCAGGCCCATTTTCAGGGGTTGTTCTGAGGCTTTCAGGGGGTTGTTGCTTTCAGGGGTTTGTTCCTGAGAGCTTTCAGGGGGTTGAGGTTCAGGGGTTGTTCCAGAGGCTTTCAGGGGCGTTGTTCCTGAGGCTTTCAGGGTTGTTCCTGAGGCTTTCAGGGTTGTTCCTAGGCTTTGTTCCGAGGGGTTGTTCCTGAGGCTTCAGGGGGAGGGTTCAGGGGGTTGTTCTAGGCTTTCAGGGGGTTTGTTCCTGAGGCTTTCAGGGGTTTTTCCTGAGGCTTTCAGGGGTTGTTGAGGCTTTCAGGGGGTTGTTCCTTGAGGCTTTCAGGGGGTTGTTCTGAGGAGGGCTTGTTCCTGATTTCAGGGGGTTGTTTCATGAGGCTTTCAGGGGTTGTTCCTGAGGCTTTCAGGGGGTTGTTCTGAGTTTTTCAGGGGGTTGTTTTAGAGGCTTTCGGGGTTGTTTCCTGAGGCTTTCAGGGGGTTGTTCTGAGGCTTTCAGGGGGTTGTTCCTGAGGCTTTCAGGGGTTGTTCCTGAGGCTTTCAGGGGTTGTTCCGAGGCTTTCAGAGGCTTTCAGGGGGTTGGTTCCTGAGGTTTCAGGGGTTGTTTCCAGAGGCTTTCCAGGGGGTTGTTCCTGAGGCTTACCAGGGGGGGTTGTTCAGGGTTTCAGGGTTGTTCAGAGGTTTAAGGGGATGTTCAGAGGCGTTCAGGGGGTTGTTCTTGAGGCTTTCAGG